TCAAGGTATCTGAAGGATTTTTAGATGCTTTCTGAAAAACTGTTTTTTCTGAAAACTTCTAGAAAACATTTTCCTCTAAAAAAGCCTACCATAATGACAGACAATAAATTTCCAACAAAATAAGACCTTTTCCAGCTCTCTACAGTGTTATTTCGCTAAAAGATTTCATTTTGCACCGAAAACAAGCTGTTCTTTGGCCTTGAAAGAGTCAACTAGACGTTCCCAAGTCGTAAAGAGCTGGGAAAGGTCTTATTTTGTTGGAAATTTATTGTCTATCGTTATGGTAGGCTTTTTTAGAGGAAAATGTTTTCTAGAAGTTTTCAGAAAAAACAGTTTTTCAGAAAGCATCTAAAAATCCTTCAGATACCTTGAAAGTGCTTTTGTTGAATTCTACAGGCCTATTATCTGTAGAATCTAGTTTTCATGAATTCGAATTAAAATTAACCAATTTTTAGAAGAAAAAAAAGGTCGAATTCTTAGGCAAAACATTTTAAATTTCAGTAAAAGTAGAATATTTTAGGAACGAAGTAAAATTTTATAAAAGTGAGTTGGATAATCGATACAGCTTAGAATGCTATATCAAGTGACATATTGCACATCTTCCTCCGATTTACTCTGAGAATGGGAAAATTTACTTTTTACACTAGAGTGTTATTACTTACTGGTAATTATGACTAATTAGTAATTAAACGGTACTCAGAGAAGCCATTCTAAATTTATTTTTTCATGAGATTGTATCTACGAACAGTTCTCTAAAAGACTACACCAGAATCAACTGAACGTAAGATTCATATGAAAAAGTAGAAAATTTTTAAAAAATGCCTCTCAACCTAAAAACTTCAATTAATTTTGAACTTGATTAATTAATAATCCGGTCAATATTTGACCGATGACTTTTTTATTGCATAGGCATACCGTTGAACGTATTCTCTACAAACTGACAAAATTTCAGGATATGTTTATAGGGGGTGACCCCTCTCTTAAAGAAAACAAAATAAAATATGACAATGTTTGTATCAATTTGCTGTTAATCTTTTTGACTTCCAATTATACGGACGTGTCCTTTGTTTATCCCCATTTGTACAACCACAACAAGCTGTTTCTTTGCTTTGGTGAGGTTTCGATAGGGGCACATCGATGGCAGGACTACCGCGGAAAAATCCATCTGGTAGGAGACGAAATCCAACTGTTTCCACAGGCATTACGGGCCAATCTTCAGGTCGAACAACATGATTACAACCGAATGTGTACCAAGTCACAAGATCACATTCGACTAACGAATCATCTTTGTGCTTTTCACTGTACACCGCTATGCCGTCTTCATCGCCTTTTGATTGATTAGGAAAGAGTCCAGCAGCGTAAAGTTCTTTGTCATCGTAACGCGTGGCCCAAAGATGGTGACGAGCCATTGCACTTCGTCCACCTTGGCATGACTCTAAGTGACACATTGGATAGCAGGCTGGTGTCATCGAGACGATTTTGTAGCCTACTGGTAATTTCACATGATTTTTCACGTTTGGATTGATCACTTTCCAAAAGCGACCTTTGCTTGCATCGTGAGAGCGACGTGCTTCACCGACTGTCACCAAGACTGTTTCACGAGCTGCCCATCCATTGCCGGACAAGTTGTTGGGTCCCGGTGGAATGGATTCACAGTTGACTTCGACTAACGAATTCTTCTGTCCATCCAGATTCCAGTCAATGCGGATGTTGAAAAAATGCTGATGATGTGGACCATAGAGTCCTTCAGCTATCAATCCGCCTGAAGCAGGAATTTTACCGGGTTCGATTGATCCTAAAAGAAGTCATTAAGTGTCAGTCATCGCATGCTGCAAAAGGATTGTTTTCCATGCTAGAATAATCATCTTATTCTCCTCCCAAAGTGATATTTGTACAAAAGAAAATTGGCTTTACAAGGTTCTACTAAATTTTTTGTATTCTACAAGAGTCGATTAACAAGGAACTATTTGCATTTCGAATACTGACCGGGAGCGATGATTCCAGTGAGTTTGACTTCGTAATGAATGGCACCATCTTGCTGGAAGTACCAATAGAATCCATATTCATAATTGCCCACAGTAGCCACGCTAGAGACAACTAACCGTCGCGAACGTCGAACTTGTGTGCGTTGCTCAATGTATCTAATCGAAACAAACTCACAATAACTCAAACTTTTCCTTCATATGCATGAAAATCACTTTACTCGGTATGTTTCCAGAGTAAGCCGATATCTTCTTCATGAATACAAATGGCATTTTTGAGCAGAAGTGCTTCGCCTTTATTGTTATTACGAATCACATCCATATATCGGATTTCGCCAAGACAATCACATCCGAGGACGAGACTGTTCAGAAGTAATCCGATACCGACTTCGCCAACATCGAAAGCATTCTTGAAATTATGCCCTGGACTAGCATCACCATACGGGACCCACATTTCGTCGAGGCTTGCTCGATAGAAAATCGATCTCCAGCGTGGTTGGTCGAAGTATTCGACCATATGAATCGTGAGACCTGGGAAAGGAACACAAATGATCTCCTGCAACGTAAGAGAGGAGATAAGTCACCTTCGCGTACATTGAATCCCACTCGAAATCGCCATTTTTGCCATGTCACCTGATATCCATCGATTTGAAATGAAGGTCCTTCTGGCTGAGTAATGACTAATGGTTTGAGATCTTTGCGAAGTCCATCAGGAAAGTAGGGTATGTTATTTGGTGATTTGATTCTTTCAGGGTCATAGTTGGCTGTGTATGACGGGACAGGAACGACAGAGTGATCTTCCACTTCAACAGTGAAAGAATCGAGATCGACGGTGATCACAAGACCGTCGATGTGGTGAGCGTAATAATTATCTTCTGGTGATTTTCTCACAGCTGCATAAGGTCGAAAGATGCGACGCTTCGCTGGGGAATCGTGTTCATTTGTGTAACCAGATGAAAATACATAGAAAACTACATCATCAATTTTGATATTTCGTTTAGCGAAAGCGGCGAGTACGGCTTCGTTCTTCCGGAGAATACTATCACTTTCTATCATCTCATCGAAAGTAAGAGGCGGTTGAAAATTTTGATGTTCAATAAGTTTTTCGACACATTTGTTTATCAAATCAAGCGTGGCTTCGTATGAAGTGCGGTTTTGCGAATCACGGATAAGAGCACTGACACGTCGTTGCAATTGATCTTTGGACTTGAAATTGATTATGTAATTCTTGTCGTGGGGTTCGATGGGAACAATCGTGATGATACGAATGTGAGATCCTAATGGAGGCGTTGCCAGAAGCAGACGCGTGGTCAGATTGATCTCATCTGAAGAGAAATACATTCATGATTGTTCCACATACGAAGAGTAAATTGCTTACCCGCTGTTAATGGATCGAGTGGATGGCGGACTGGTGGTGAGACACCATCGGGGACGATATTGGGTGGTGGAAGGTCCGCTATTTCGGATGGATGTGTCGGTAGTTGAACTGGTTGTGCAGCTAATTCTTCGGGAGCAGTTTGATCAGCATTCATCGTTTGCGGCTTGTCCATGTTTGTATCTAGTTTGAAGTAATCTGCAATTTGACAGCATTACATGCCTATGGCGCCACAATGACGGCGAGAGCGTTCAAGAAAGTTATAAGAACCTCTAGTTTCAACATTGACCTCTGAACTTTAAGGTTTGACCTAGAACGGTCGGACAGAGAATCGTGTTTTACTATAGCAGTGTGGATGTCGAGGAGCTGTGTGCTTGTTACAAAGTCAAATATGAAAGGTCAAAGGTGATAGTTCAAGGATCAAAAGTCAAATTTAGAAATATTACTAAAAATCCTTCAGAGGTTTCTTGGACCTTCCAGAACCTTTTATAACACTTGGAATCTTCTAGAACCTTTTGGAACCTTCTAGACTATTTGAAACCCTTCAGAGCCTTATATAACAATCTGGAACCTTCCGAAAGCGTCTAGAGTCTTGTAGAACCTTCCACAACATCCTCCGGAGGGTATAAAAAGACGCTTGATCATCGCACGATGACCAGTGCAGTACGCACTACCATGTAGGTAGGCATGCGACGAAACCCGATACCCGAGACTGGTACCGGTATCGGTATCGACGCATGCCTAGGGTTCACTGAGAAAAAGAGAAAAGTAGACTTATTTTTCTTCTCTCTTCCCATATGATATTCTACGCTGTTTCTTTTATCGTCTAGCTTTATCGATATAAGAATATAAGAATGCCATTTTTTATATTTTGTGACTTTAGTCAGAAGAGATCTTCTTCAACGACAGACTGATAATCTACTACATAAAACTTTAAATTTTATTTAAATTCGAATGTTTTACATTTTGGATTTTTTTCTGCTCATTTGAATTTCTACTTTCCTGAAAGTAGAAAATATTTAAGAATTTTTTTATAATCCGGAAAATTGTTTGATTTTCAATAAAAATGCTTCTCGAGTTTTTAGAGAGCTGAGTCATTTTCTGAAGAATGAAGAATTTTCTAGAAATTCAGCGATTTTCTAGAATATTAAATTCGATTTTTCACAAATTCAAAATCAAAAGTTTCTGTACGATTGATCAATACAGAAACGAAAGCGTATTTGAAAGCTAGAAATCAGGTAATAGCGGAAAAAGAACGAATGCAGACATTCCTGTTTTACATGGATTAATGAGTTTTACTCAACTTAACCGTGGAAATTTGTATTGGAAATATGAATAACGCATGCCTCTATGTTTCTTTATAATAGGCTACTTAAAAATGTTTGTTTCTTTTCCAATCAGCTTTCACTTATAAGTGAAACCTTTCCTTCCTTCCATAGAAGAAAGGAACGCTTTTTTTTGTATGAAAGAAACACTTCCCATATCATCGTTTTTCGGCACACCGCAGTTTAACGGCTGTTCTTTGCCTACCGATGATAACAATCATTAGATAACAAAAAACTTATTTCTTTACTTTTTTGTTGCGACTTTAACTGTAAAACAAGGTGACGCTCTACGATTCGCTCGGTCCCTGGACTTTAGACGTGCTGCATGTAGTGGTGATACATGCTCGCGGGCATACTTCGACCAATCGCATTTTGATGTACATTATTCCTCCTATACCACAATTCTCCAATATCATATAAAAAGTGCACAATAAATACATCTGGCAATTGAAACAACTTGAGACTTTTAAGGGACTGTTTCTAGCTCCCACGGGACTCTTGTGGAGTTAGACAGTCTTCAGAGTCCAAATGAGGTCCTGCGGTGGTCATTAGGAGCTCGTTAAAAGTCTCATCTGACTCCTTAAAGGAATCCAGCAGGGTTCCGTTACAGGAGTCCTGGGGGAGTTTTGTTGGGAGTCTCGGCTAGGGCATGGACTGCGTCCAAAAGTGATCCCTGGCCAATGGAATTAATTGGCTGAAAAGTTCACAGAAATTCACTTTCGAGCTCTTAGCGATAAATCCAAAAGATCGGCTGGATTCTTCTAGTCCATTCTGAGAAAAACGCAAAACAGTGCCCTCTATATGAGCCTTCTCAGAATTGACTGGAAGAATTCTATTCAGCCGATCTTTTGGATTTATCGACCATCATGTTAGATCATCTGTAATCTGAATTATCCGGAGAGAAAAATATCACAAGATCTAGGATAAAACATCAGCAGGTTAAGAGGTTGAACACTTGGCCTTTGCACTCAAAAGCTTGGAAAAGAAATCTCAAGATCTTCAATGAAGTAAGTCGAAATTTTTAGCGTCTTGAGTGAAAAACGCTTCTTACATTATCTTTATATGACAGTCGTAGCCAGAGCTGGACAGCTGCGACTCCTTGGAGCCGTCTCCGTTTATAAACGGAACCGAAGCCGGACGGAAAACGTTGAGACCGGAGTCGGTGGTGGCGCCGGTTCCAAATCTGTCTCTTCCTGTTTACATTCGATGACAGTGTGGGCGTTCAAAAACAACTTTTAGAGCCGGACAGACAAGCCTGGGGCCGGAATTGGATTCAAAATGTCTACCAGAGGCACCGGTGCGGGACGAAACGCTTGGAACTAGAGCCGAACGAAGGCAGAGCTGCCTAGCTCTGGTCGGAGCCGTAAGCCATATGAACGCATATGATCATACGCAATGTCATTTCTTCTAATTCCATGTTTCCCAGATCAATGAAAGTACGTCAGTACTTATGTATCGTTTGGTAAAGTCCAGAAGTTCAGTCATGTGTCGTTTTCTCATGTATGTATTGTTTTTTCGCACTTTAGCTTTTTCGGGTACGAGTATGATCGGCGGATCCGTGGTTGCAAAATACACCGGTTTTTAGAGCAGATATGATCATCTTTTACGGCTTTTGTCCTAGTCGGAGGCTTTTGTCCTAGTTTAGTTTGTGATTTCGATTAACGTATTGGTTGAAATAACCAACAACAGGTTACCGAAGGCGGCAAGATAAGCAAAGGGAATGCACATAAAAGACGGAAACCAGAAAATAGTTTGTCACTTATGAAAACGTAAACAATTTTCTAGACCGATATGCATTTAGAGGCAGTTTTAAGGGATTATAGTACAGACCATATGCAAAAGAGTTGCTTCTACATACTTGTTCTTGACTGCCTTAGAACGAATATGTCTTTAGTTTAATTTTTCTTCTGCTCTTCGTTAAAGTTGCAAAGGAGAACGTGGCTTATGTTGAAAAATTTTCTCGATTTCGGCGTGTTACCTTCAGACAAATTTGACTTTCATTATGATATATTTTTTCCCTTCGTTTTCTTCTGCAAACACAACAAACATTTTGGTATTGTAAACACTTATTTATAACTCGGCGACGTAGCCAAGCGTGACGATATTTCATTTTTCACCTATAGACTTTGATATCTCGTAATTAGACAAGCTGAAAAGTTGACATTTTTTCCCTTAGATAGAGTTCTACAAGTTCTACGTCTGATAAAAATTTCAGCTCTGTAAGCCGTGCGATTTCGGAGAAATATAAAAATGGTGGTGTTATGTCTCGTGTCATTTTGGTTTGGATTGCAAACACGTTGACTAACTCAAGACAGTACACAAGTAAAGCACTTTGTTTGATAAAAAGATTACTTTGCCTAAGACAATCAACACTTTTTAATTTGTTTGTGTCTTTTGATTGGTTAGTGTCAATCCTGTACATCTGCAAAAGTATGTAATAGATCGTTCCATGTTTTACTGACTGCAAAGAAAGTTCTTGAATCCTTACTATTCAAATATTGGTGGTAGTGGAAGCCCAACGGTTCACTGGTCTCGGACGGCGCAAGATAACAGAACAGGACGCACTAAACGCCACACACAGTGAATTTGTTTTCATGAAAAACAGCTGACGCGTATCTTGAACACGGCGGAAATAAAGATCTAATGATTCTTCGATAAATTGCGTTGCGAAGTGGAGACGTGGAGTATTTCAATGGATTAAAGCTTACCGTTGACCACTCGACTTTGATGAAACCACTTCGCCTCTAATTAACATTGAGAACTACGTCTTGTACTGGAGTTTCTAGAAAATTTAACCCAAATATAAAAATTTCCAGCATCCCAAGTAGAATGATGAAGAGCTATAAACAGTTTCAATGAAGGTTTTATCGTGCCTGTGTCTTATGTATCAGATAGCAATTCCTACAAGTTAGATAGATCTGCATGTATGTATAAAGGACATATGGGCTAACGCTCAAGAAGACTTAAAATGCATATCGTTCGACAGAATGTACTCAGTAACCATTAAGATTGTATTCTGAAGGAGTAGAAAAACACTGAAATCTTTGCATGGCCTCTGCCAGTGTTAGAAACAATAACAAGAAAAATAATTCATTAAGCTAAGTCGAAAGTGTTATTTTTACAATATGCAAGCGTTGTTGCATTTGTATACAGGAGTCCCGAGTGTTTACCCTTCCTGGTGTTTTGTAACGATTAATAAATTGGTTCACAGCAATATGTGCCTCCTCTTAGCCATTTGACGAGAATAGTAAACATAATATAATCAATAATAAGCTTTGGCAATTGAATATTCGGGAATTTTCGTCTTGTAATAATCGTCTAAGTTGCGCAATACAACATCAGGAAGTCCCAACAGCAATCTATAGAAAAAAATCTTAGATTTGCGCAAAAACATGACAGTTATGATTTCATAGAAATTTTCAACTGTCACATAATCTCCGGCCAGCAGGACTGCACTGATGAATATCTGTCGCACCTGTGTCTGCGAATAATCTTCAATCATTTTGAGCAAAGGATAATCTCGAATAAACGAACCGAGAAAATTACGAACATGCTCGAGAGAACCATTAAAATCTTCCATCTTATACATCGCATCCAGGGTGAGACTATAAAGCCGATTGATGATATCTTTGTCATCTCCGCATCTGTAGATGTGTAATTTTATAAAATTGGAAAGCTGTCTTATCAGTAAACCCGAGCATTTTCTCCAAGATCTTTTTAAACATCGGGAAAGGATCGTGCAGTCTAATATGTCCCAATCTACCATAAATATTGTTCAGGCTGGTCAAATCTTCATCTGCTACGACGGCCAAGTAAATCCCAGTGATAGTTATAACTTGATCTTCCGTCG